CATCATCTCATTGCTTTTTACCCCAAATCCTATACTTCTTTTTACATCAAATTGAGAGCAATGTAGCGGGGCGCTGGCTTAGTTTGATATGAAAATTCTAATTTTTCATAATCTCTCTAGTGAGTTGATTTTAGATTGAGTTTTGTAAACTCGTGAGCTTTCGGGTGCAGTGAACATTGTAAGATAAAGATAATATTTTGAGTAAATTATAATCTTAATTTTGAGTAATAAGTTGAGAAGATTTTATGATATTCGTTGTTTATATGGTTTATGAAAGATTGAAATTTTATGACGACCAGTGTGAGAAAATTTATCGAAATGTGTGTTTGTAATTTGCATAGATACACGATCTCTTATTTAAATAACGAGTGTTTCTTAGTATTATGAGTGTAAATAATTATAAAGAGCTTAGACATGTATGTGAATTATACTTTAGAAAGTTTCTAGTTATGCCGTATACACTAATATTTCATTAAAATTTTTATTTTTAAATTGGGACATCTTATAATTATAGATTACATGTTTATGCAAACTTTCAATTTGCATGTTTATGCATAATATTCAAATATTCTTTGACACAAATTGCATTGAGATCAATAAAGATTATGTCATGAGAGATAGATTGATAATGTTATGTTGTGATAAATACAGGCGGAGCAGTAGGTTACAAGGTGAGCTTCTATAAGGGAACCGAAATCACGTGATTTTGGCCACATTGAGTTCATTTCAAAAAAACATTTATCTCAATTATAAATTCATTAAAATCAATTTACATTAATTTTTTTTTTAAAAAAATTAAATTACATTTTTTTAGATTTATGGATTGTTTGAAATATATGAAAATTTGATGAATTTCATTTTAAACTTCTGTTTATAGTAGGTTCTCATTGTTGTATTTTAAACTATAGTAGATGTGTTTTCAAAATGCCACCGCATTAAATAAGCTGTTCCAAACGGGCCCTAAATCTTTTTGACGACAGAATAAATTCTATTTATTTTAAGAAAATTTATATAGCACATCATTTTTATATATTTACATATATAATATTAAAATTTTTAAAAATATATTTTAAATATATTTAGATCATAATGAAAATTGTTAATTATTTATTTCCTTTTCAAGCCTGTATTCAATATTTACATCTGACTTTTCAACAGTTTAAACCGATTTCAGATCTGGACGCGACAGGGGTAATTAGGGTTTTGCTCCGTCTTCCCTGCAAACCCTAGCTGTGAATCTTCCTGCATGGAGCACGGCACGGACGGCGAGCGGGCCAGTTTTCACGGCAACGAGGTGATCTCTGCCGTTCAGGATGAGGAGCAATTTTCTGGGGACGAAGATGATTACGATGACCTATACAATGACGTCAACGTTGGAGATGGCTTCTACCAGTCCTCTGTTCACCGTAGCGAAGATTATACGGGCAATTTCTCCAAGGAACCAGAAAAAAAGAGAGATCCGTCACCGCCGCCTCCGAATCCCCCGCTCCCTCCTCCGCTATCGCGAGCTCCTACTGTAAACATTAACGTTCCGATCAACGCCGGAGAACCAGAGGTAGAGGTGACGTTCAACAGATCCGGATCTTTCCAAGATGGAATTGGCGGTTTTGCTTTGCCGGCGAGGCATGTGACATCTTCTAGTGAGGTTAGGGCTGATACGGGGCAGACTTCGGGTAGGCTTGGTGAGATTCAGGGACATCCTAGTGGAAATACCTTTGGGAACAATGGATTTCAGAATCAGGGAAGTGCGTTTGACAACGAGGGTTACCTTAGGCAAGGAACAGCTAGTATTGCCACCACTAGCAACAATCCCACCCCTGTCACCTCTGCAGGAGTTGGAGGAGTTGCAGCAGCTGGAGCTCCAGCTGTTTTAGGAGGGAATATAAATGGTGCTGGAGGAGGTGGGACCACCACTCTTTTTGTTGGAGATCTTCAATGGTGGACAACCGATGCTGAGCTTGAGGCCGAGCTTTGCAAGTACGGAGCTGTGAGAGAAGTGAGGTTCTTTGATGAGAAGGCTAGTGGAAAATCGAAAGGATATGCTCAGGTTGATTTCTACGATCCAGCAGCTGCCGCTGCCTGCAAGGAGGGTATGAATGGCCATATCTTTAATGATAAGCCCTGTGTTGTGGCCTTTTCATCACCACATGGTGTTAGACGGCTTGGAGAGGGGCATATGGTTAGAAACCCACAAAACATGCCCCAGGCCCAACCACAGTCTGCATTTGTGCAAAAGGGCAGAGGAGGAGGAGGTGGAGGAGGAGGAGGAGGAGGTCATATAGGAGGGAATTTTGGAAGAGGGGGTGGTGGTAATTGGGGAAGAGGTGTGATGGGCAATAGAGGGCCAATGGTGAATATGAGGAACCGTGCTGGGCCTATTGGTGGTAGAGGTATTATGGGAAATGGTGGGATGGTAGCGCCTCCACCTGCAGTGCTACACCCAGGTGCCATGTTGGGACATGGATTTGATCCCACCGGTTATGGAGCATCAATGGGTAGAATGGGTGTTGGGTTTGGAGGATTTCCTGGGTCTGCTGCTGGTGCATTCACAGGAATGATACCTTCTTTTCCCCCAGTAGTGGCACCTCATGTTAACCCAGCTTTCTTTGGAAGGGGGATGGCCCCTAGTAGCATGGGAATGTGGCCAGATCCTAGCATGGGCAGTTGGGGCGTTGATGAACAATCTAGTTATGGGGATGATGCTGTTTCAGATCAGCAATATGGGGATGGAAATCACGGAAAGGATAGAGGTGCTAGTCGCGATTGGTCGAGTACTTATGACAAAAGGCAAATGACTGATAAAGACATGGGATCTGGGTCAGAATGGTCTGAGAGGAGACCTAATGAGGAAAGGGATATGGGTCGGATGAGGGATCGAGATTTGGATAGAGATAGACAAAGGGAAAGGGAGAAGGATAGGGAAAGGGACCGTGAGAGGGAGCGAGAAAGAGAGAGGGATAGGGATAGAGAAAGAGAACGGGACAGGTATAATGATGATAGAGACAGACATTTGGAACACTACAGGCATAGGGAACATGAATTAGAGAGGGATGGTGAGTGGGATAGAGGACGATCATCCAAGGTTCGAAGCAGCTCACGGGAGATTGAGAATGTGAAGAGACGCCGACCATCTGAATGAGCGGGGCCCTTAGCAGTTTTCCTTGGCATAAGATGCTGCTATTGAGTTTTGCCCTTGACATGCTTGTGGTTTAATGCTCATTGCATATTTTTGTCGAGGATTTTTGCAAGGGCTTGGCTTATACACTAGCTGGAAGCGTAAGTTTTGCTAGTCTCTCTTTGTTGATGTTACAGCATATGTATAGCTTTTCTCTATTATTATTTTCATTGCTTAAATAGTTGATTCTATGGATATAACTGGTAGCATTTCCTTAATAATGTTTAGTTTTCATCTGTTTTCTCCTAATATTTTCAGAAAAAAATCAAGCTCTATGTGTATGCTGCTCAAATCCCATTAATTCTCTATGTAGTAATGGTAGTTTGAGGTTTGAATTTTGCTTAGTTCACTAATTTATTTTGAAAACTAATCATGCGTTATGCTTCTATCATCACTGCATCTCCTTTTTATTTGTTGAAAACTGCAGTGTTGATTTATCATTATTATAATCATGGAAATGGTGTAGATGAGATATTATGGACGTTGGGGTATAATTGGTTATATATAATACTTTTGAAAAACAGAGTATGATGATTCAATCAAGACATATGCATATTTCTTCATAGTTATTTAGATACATTCATGCTTACAATTATCCATGGATGGATTCACCTTATATCCATGCTACTTCGTACATGCTGTAAAAAAGGCCAAGTAGTCGGACAAACCAATAATATCACACTTTTTTCTGTTGTTCACACATTGTATTCACAACAATGGTACACAAAATTCTATTCAATTTTATTGGGGTAGCGATTATATTATAATATTTTAAATTGGATATTGCATATGGTGTATTTGATGTGGTATTTTTAGGATCTATTGATCTTAATTTATAGAGTGAAACACCTAGGATATCTGTCTATCTCACCTTTTTGAAAATGATTCGATTCATAATTATTTTTCATGTTTTTATTTTTCTGAAAATTTTTTATAAGTTGAATACTTGAAAGTTTCATTTCTTTTATGGGTGTGGTCTTAAGCTAATGCAATGATGAGTTTCTCTTCTCAATGAATTTCTGTACTTGCAGAACAAGATCCAGTATTATATGGGTCATTTACTATTTTTTTTATTCTTTTGTGTCCTCCAAATATAATCTGAAGTAGAACTATGCTTCCTAAGTTGTGTATGTCTACTCAAGTTCAATGGCTTTCATATAGGGCGTTCAATGTTAACTGGAGCATGGTGTATCGAGAACACTGTGTGCTCACATATCCATGCCATTGAAGGAAATTGAGATCTCACATGTTCATGCCGAGGAAATCATGATTAGTTGCGGAAAAAGGAAATTCTATTGTATATATTCAAAGCAGGAGGTTTTTTTTGTATTTGGTTAATTTTAGGTATTTTTAAAGTTTTTATTAGGCTTTTTTCAATTTTTTTTCTTAGTCTATTTTATATATTGGGTTACTTCAAACAAGTTGAATGGATAAGAAAAAATTTGTATCATCCACATTATATTAGAACCTCAGTAATTTTTTTACTGTTTCTTCATCTTTACCTTCATTTCTTGACACATTTCAGTCTTCAACATCATCTCCCTATGCGTTTAAGCCTTCATCATCCGATGCGAAGCCAAGCAATTTTATCTTGAATCTTCCAACTTGATTCCAATCTTTGCTCAACAAAGTTCCGCGTCAATGTTCAATTATATTTTGTAGTTCTTCATCGCACCAACGCTGATGCTTAGCAGCAGGTATTCGACCTTTTCAATTTTTCCAGCTGCTAGCGCTGTTCGCTATGTTGACATCAATTCTGGAGTCAGCTACCTTCTCCTCTTCTATATCAATGTAGAGTCCACGGCATAATATCAAGATCTTGTTCTGTTTTCTATTCTATGCTCTCTGTACATTCCATAGTCAATTTACCTAGACAGGTTGTTGGGCTGTTTTGGAAAATCTTTCTACACTCAGTATGCACCCCTACAATTTCTTCTTTTCCAACCATTACCGACATTGACATTGATTTCTCTCTTCATCTTTGATGCATAACTTACAAAACCTGCGATGTTTCTAGTATCCAATTTCATTGAGCAATGACTTCTATCTTTGCTTTCCTCACTTCATTGCTGTATTCACTTTCCTTTACAGCAACTTGCATTGCTGTTGCTCTTGATGGTCCTTGCTTCTACTCATAATCTTCTGTTACAACCACAACTTTCATACAAGAAAAGAGAAAGGCCAAAGGCTCTTTAAAATTGTGCAATTTTAAGCATGACTCAGGTTAGGCCCAAATAAATATCGTTAAGGATACATCTCACAGTGGCTGAAAGAATTGTCCCAATTATTTAAGGCATGCTTTGAGGCACATATAATGAGGTGTATGTTGTGATTTTTGGGGTTTCATTGGTGGTGTGGAGCCTTTATTCGATACCCTACAGCTCAAGTAGTATTAAAACTAGACCTAGATCATATAAAGAAGAAACAAATGCATGAAAAATGGTTTGTAGATGTTAAGAATTGAGTTTAATTGTCTTAATTATTACAATAGAATTATCTCAAAATTATTTTTTTGATAAAGGAACAAGAACAACAAGAGTCAAGAAGAAGTAACATAAAAAGTTAGTATTAAACAGTATGAAATGAAAAACAAAAAGTTAAAGAAGTTTAATATAGTCATTGTTTTAAATAATATTATTATTGGATTTTATTGATGAGGAAAGAAGGAGATGCAAAATGAATGTGATGAAGTGAATTGGGAGGATGTTGATGCAGGTGAGGATGTGGGAGGCGAGAAAAAATTTAGCTATGATGAAGATTCTAATGAAGATTCTCTAAATTATTGGAGTGGAAAATGATCTTCTATTTGAAGTCTAAAGTTATAGCTAGTTTGTTATGGGAAATGTTTTTTTTTATTTATTTTAAACTTCTTGTTTATGTTTATTTTTGAATCATAGACTATTTGTTTATTATTGTGTGTTTGCATAAATAATTATGTACTTTGGCATTGCTGGGTTACTCTCAAATCCTTTATAGGAATGAAATCAAGCTCAATTTCTAATGTTGTTACTTATTATTGAGTCAACTGGAGAATTAAACTAAAGTTGTTTGAATTGTCATGTTTTTTAATCAATATAATAATTTCATTTTGTGGCTTCTGCCTCTAAACACCGTGAAATTTATGCCTCTCACAAAAAAGAAATACCGTAGTACTTGATTGCGTAATTTCAAACATTGGTCAAAGCAATATCGAAGACTCCACAAATATACACTTGATTAGTTAATAATTTTATCGAAAGATCTTGAGAAATCTTATGTACTATTTGATTGGCACGTTCAGGTAAGTTTCCAGTGCACATTGGATTAATGTCTCGAACAAATTTGTCAACTCTTGGGTATGGACTTTGTTGTTATCAATTATTTGACTTCCTCATCATAGAATTATTATATAAAATTCGATTCGAGCAGTATGAAAATTGCCTTAATATATGAGGTACCAGGTATTTTAGGGTTAGGATTTTGAAAAGACAATTGAACGTGCTAAAAAATAGAGTTATTCTTATTGTCCTGAAGCACAAAGTAACCATAGTGATAATAGGGTTATTTTTTAACATGCTTTTCTAATAAAGATAAATTTTTGGCTTTATCTTTCATTTATCATTTAGGCCCTTTTAAAATTGTTTTTCCTTCCTGAGGTAGAGTGCTTGATTTAGGAATTTTATGATTTGATGCATGCGAGTTTACAAAACATCGATGCGTTTTTTTCCCCTTCAACAGTAAAATAAGTTTAGTTCTTTTTTCTCTGCTGCTTTGGGTTTCTTACATTCTTTCCAATGTTTTTGGAGCATGTTGTTTTCTACCATTCATTGATAATTGCACTAGTGTCTCCGTAGTTTTTCTGCTGACGTAAAAATTGAATGTACGTTTTGCTCTTCCCAATTTTTATGTCATGACACAAAACTAGTTTGGTCATTCATGTCAATTCAACTAATTTGTATGATAATGTTAGGGATTATTTCTTTCAGTACTTGACTCCATAGTTTTATAATAAATATTTCTTTATGAGTCGTTATGTGTAAACCCTCAACAAATGGAGTTATTGAAAGAAAAAATGATCATCTTTTTTATACGACGAGAGCATTTCTACTTCAATACAATTTACTTGAGTGTTACTTGGATGAAGCAGCTCTGATAACAAGCTGTATTAATAGTTTTTCTTTTAGATTAGAGTCTTGACTTAAAAGATTCCTATGGAAATGCTGTCACATTTTTTTTAATGATTTAAAAATGCTGGGAGGCATCTTTTGCTCATATTCATAGTTCAAAAAGGGAAAAACTTGATCCAAAGGCTATCAGTTGGGATTTTTGGGTTATTTTTTTAGCTCAAAAGTGATATAAACACTACTATTCTCCTTTTAAGATATTTTGTAACTCGATCAATGTCACCTTTTATGAAATAAGATTTTTTTTTTTTGACTTTTTTCTACTTTTTATGTTCATGGGGAAGATCTAGTAGTGGAAGGAGAGAAGGATTACTCATCTCATTAATCTTTCTTTATCATTAAAATCCAGACCCCTCAGTTCTGAAGCTCATCTCTATATTTCTTATCATATACCAATGCCTCCTATGGAACATCATGCATTGTCTCCACTGCTCTTATGCCTCTTGTTGAAAGGTTCTCTGGTTGACAAAAATATACAAAATTGAAAACATTTCTATACTTGAACTTGTACTATTCGAAAAATCCAACCAAAGTTCTGTAAATTAGTTTACAATTTTTCCACTCTACAAATTTTTTTGTAGCAATTCATATTATAATCTACCCATTGCCATCAAAAACAGAATCTTGGAATGCATAAAGCATCTATTGTATTCATTTTCTCATATTGTACGAGTTATATATTTTTAAACTTCTTGTAGGGGTTTTATTGTAATGCCAAGTAGTATTCTGATTTCTATCATTGGTTCAAAGCTTGATATAATCAAAATTGAAAACAAGTTCTGAATGCAGAGAAAAGACAAAATTTGAGAGCTGGTGAGTTTGCCACGAGGAAAAGGACCTGAAGGGGGAAAATGAGTTTACAATATGAAGTATCAAGGATATGGTTTACTAGAGAGGTACAAATCAACATTGGTAGCTAAAGCGACGTGCATATGGGA